ATCCTTGGAAGGAGGAATTTCTCACCTGGAGTTCCAGCCTCCACTGTGGGATGAGGGAGAATTTGCTGCCCCTCAGACGCATCCCGGCTTGGGGTCACATCACCCACGACTTCTGAGCTTGCCAGGCATGGTGTCTTTGCAGTTTCCTTGCAAGGATTCTGTTCCTATTCTTAAGCAGAAACAGCGGGAATTTTTTGTCTTCCCTTTGGCACAAACCCCACCCCCAACACAAAAGTCTCCTGCTGGGTTCTGAACTCCAGCTCAACACCCAGAAACAGAGGCACCCCCAGATTCCTGCTTCCCCGTGGCACCCTTGGCCACGGGGCGCTCGGGACGTGGTGCCCACGTGCAGCCTGGAGATGTTCACCTTCCCCCCGACACCCAGAGCGGCAGCCCGGCCATCGGCAGCATCCTGCACGCAGCTGAGCACCACGTGCCCCCAGCCCGCCTCCGGCCACCGTCCCCTCCAGAGCCGGCCCCACGCGCTGTGTGACGGCCTTTCCAGCACCGCCACAGCCCTCCCTGCCTTGCTCTGCATCCGTCTCTGCCTTCCCTCCCTCGACCGGGAACACCCCCGGGCTGGGAGCATCCCTGGGCCGGGAGCATCCTGGAAGAAGGAGGAAGGATGGCTTCGCTTGCGGGAGCTTCTTGACTAGCACTACGACTTCCTGAAGTGACCCGGCAAGGCTGGGACCCCCGGCCCTGGGGCAGAGCCTGGCTGCTGCCCCCCCCCCTCCCAGCCCCTCCGGCTGCGCACCGGACTCCAGCAGAAACAAGGGGGAGGAGGATTCTCTGCAAGACAGCTAACAGCCTTTTCAGCCCAAATTAACCTTTCCAATTTGCTTGAAATCTTTCTCATTTTCTCTGCAAAATAAAGGGAAAAATACCCAGCTGTAATGGCCAACGTGGTTTTATTAAAAGCCAGGCTGGAAGCACTGTGGTTTCTGATTGGAAATACCTCTTAAAACCTACAGCCGTGGCAGAAGAGCTGGGGTGAAGGGTGAGGAAGGCAGACACGAGATGTTTACATCAAGGCAGTCGGCGTGTGCACAATCCCCGCTGCAAACCTGCCTTTGGGATGGGATCTCTGCTGAGGAGGCGGCGCGCAGCCTGTTCAGCCAGAAGGGTGCTGGAACCCAGCTTCCCTCTCCTGCCCAGCCAGCCTCCGGCACGGGTCTCCTTTAAAAAAACATAAAAATAAAAAGGAAAGAGGGTCACGCAAGACTAAACACACCAGTCGGGTCTGCCCTCAGCAAGGCAATTCCTGCCTAACCTCGGGTGACGTCAGGCCTGCGACACGTGGCTGCCGTCCCTGCTCGGGATGAGCTGGATCTCCTTCATTAACGGCAATGGGCTCCAAATACCTTTGCGTACTTAGTATTACCTGGCTTTAATGGATAACGAAATGGATGCAGAATATTGCTAACACCTGAAGGGTGTCTAATGGAGAAGAGGACTGAAAAGGAAGCCCTCCCCTCCCTTCGCTGGGGGATTTAAAGGCATCGGGCTCCTTTGTTGGTGGGGTGAGGAGCGGCTCGGTACCTGCCCAGGGAAGTTTTTGGCCACTCCACGGTCCATGGGAGACCTGTCCCCTCTGCTGCCGGTGGTCAGCCGAGCCCCCCGGCACGCACCCCTCTCATCCTCCTCTTCCTCACCACGGCCCTAGCTGGCAAGCAGCGCTCGGCCCCCACATTCACGCTCTGGCACCACAGACCCAAAATAAAGCGCCGCTGCCTCTGAGTGTGGCGTGAGTCACCCTGCGCTGCTTTCAGCTTGAGCACATTAAGCAGCTGAGTAACTGCAGCAGCTGGGGCAGGAGGGCTCCTCCTTCCCGGGCTCCCAGCTGAGCTGTGCCCGCTGCCGTTGGGCTGCTGGGCTCCCCAAAACTCCCCCCCGTCCTCCCGGCGGGCAGCCTGCCCGCTCCGAGGATGCTGGGCTACAGGGCATCGCTTCCCGCAGGGCTGGAGCAAAGTGGTTTTTACGGCCAGGGCACATCCCAGGGCAGGCTGCCCACGGCCACCGACCCCACGAGCCCCGACTGCCCCCGAGGCGCGGGCCCGACGGCCGAGGTAAAGTGGCCCCCAGCCACCCCACGCACGCACGGTTTTGGGGTGAGAAGCCTTTACCTGCAGCTGCAGTGGAGGGTGCGGCGAGGGAGCCCGTGGCAGCACCTCCCTGGGCTGCCCGGCTGCACTCCACCCCTGAGCCTCCTCTATTTACGTGGAGTTATTTACTTTATGAGAACAGCGGCAAGACATTTGTGATGGCCCGGCTCGCGGCATGGGGCAAAGCTACCAGCATCCTTGAGCTGGTGAAGAGCGATTAAGTTAGCCAAGGGTGCCGTGCCAAGCACCCACTCCTGACTCTTTGGTCTCTGCTTTGGTCTCGGAGCTGCACAAGGCGGGTGCTGGAGGACGGACTCCGCGTGCCCCCCTGGCCCTGGGGACCCTGGCAGCACCCCGGGGATGCAGCGAGCCCGAGCATCCCCGAGGACCGCTGCCCCACAGGAGGGTCCCGCATCCCCCAGCGCCGGTGCGGGGGGCTGCCGCAAGCCCGCCCGTGCCAGCGCCGGCAAGCCCTGCCTGCGCACGGTGTTTGTTTCATGTCTCGCAGCGTTAAATCATAGCAGACATGCAATTCGGGGGAGCGCGAGGCTCCGTAATGGGCGGCCTCGGGTGCGTGATGGGGCCGGGGCCGGCAGGCAGCCGCGCTGCCAGGGCTCCTCCACGACGCTTTATTGCTTTTGACGCTCCAAACGCGCTCTGAAAGGCGAGTCCTGGCAGCCCGGAGGAGGGCTGCTTCCCTCTCCTGCCTGCTCTGCACGGGCAGGCACCGCAGCTGAGACCTCCCTCCCCGTGCCCACCGCGGTCCCCGGCCCGGCTGTGGCACCCCGTCATTCACAGAGCTCAGCCACACGCCTGTCACAGCCCCCGCAGCCGCTGGCAGGTCCCGTGGGATGGGGTGGGAGCTGCCCGGGCTTAACGCTGCCGTGGGAGCACGGTGTGTGACGCGGCACCACGGGGCTTTGTTTCGTTCCCGGCGAGGGCGATGGGGGGGACGCAGAGCATCGCTTGTCCCGTTGCGGATGGGGGGGATGCGGAGCATCGCTCGCCCCGTCCCATCGCAGGGACCTTGTGTCTGCACCCCTGTGCCCTCCCCGGCCCCCTGGATCGCTGCAGCTCTCACCTAGGCACCAGCCTAAGCGGTTCGGTGCTTGCCTAGCCGAGGTGCCTGCTCTCGGAGTGGCTGCCCTAGGAAGAGGCCCCGAGCCTCCCTCCCGGCGCAGAGATGCTGCCGTGCCCAGCTGCAGGCAGAGCCCCGGCAGGACACGGGGCTAAGCCTCAGGAAGCCCCGGCCGCTGAGCATTCTGTTTCCCAGAAAAGCAATTACCGCGCAGCAGATTACAGGGCTAATAAAATCCCATTACGCCATTTCGGAAAGTAAATCTGATCCAGGCGCTGCCGATTGATATCAGCCATCCCACAAAAAGTCCCGCAAGAGCGCCCTGTGCGCGCGTGTAAGACGAGGCTATAATAGATCATGCTAATTAGATATCCGATAACAGGAGGGCTGATAGGAACTACATTAAAATCTCTTTAAGAAGAAGATGTAAAACCCAAGGGAGAAAATTCAGAGTTAATGATGCTGCAGCAGAGGCTCCGCTTGAGTGGTCCTGGCCCCCTCGGCCGCATCCTGCCCGCCGCGGAGGATGCGGGGGGCTGGAGGAGAGCGGGCAGAGCGGGGCACGGTCCCCAGCGCCGCCGCGGCGCTGCCCGTGATTTTCATTACTCAGATTCAATAAGGGGAAAGAGCTCCGAGCCGCCTGCGCTCCCTGGGAGGTGACTTGCCAGCCGCTAACGGAGCCGAGAAATCAAATTAGCCCCGGCTCTGCTCTCGCTCTCTCCCTGACACTGCTGTTGGCAGCCGAGGGGGAGTTCATCAGGGCCGCGCACTAATTCTTATCTCGTTTAAGTGACTCCACGCTGCCATCTGATGCGATTTGCTCTGCGCCGCTGCCGCAGGCTCCGGTCTCTGCCCGCCGCTTCCCGAGCACTTCCAGCAGTTGGCAGCTTCCTGGGGGCACGGGCGCCTACAACACACAGAAACGCAGACGAACCTACACAAATGTAGAGGATTATAGGGACAGGGGGTCGGGGTGCGGCTCCCCTGCCAGGCAGAGGGACATTGCCTGGCCCGAAGGACACAACGCTCTGCCGTGGAGGGGAGGCTGCTGCAGCCCGAGCAGGGTGCAGGTGCGCACTCAAGGGCTGAACACGTTTTTGTTCTCAATCGTACGAGACCAACCTTCACGTATGGTCTTGTTTGCCCAAAGGTATTGAATATTTGGGGATAAGCGAAACTGGTAAGAAGCGCTCCCCTTTGCTGGAATTTGCACGCGAACGCAAATTGCCGCGATGAAAACAGACCCTCCTCTGGGTGCAGGCTGGGGGAGGCCTGCTGCCCCCCGGGCAGGGCTGCGCAGGGCCGGCACGCAGCTCCTGCTGCCCACAACCTGCCGCAGACGGATCCACCCTGCTGCTGGGCGTGAAGGGAAGCCCGGTCCCCCCAGAACCCCCCGTTCCCCCGCCAATGGAACCCCACCCCATGCCAGTGCTGTGGCTCTCTGTAACCCCCCAGGACACCCCACCCCATCTCGGAGGGTTCCCCCCCGACTTTCCAGCCGCTGAGGATCTCCTGGTGCAGCCTGGCGCCTGCAGCACCCTCTCCCCTGCACTGTGCCCTCTGCTCCTGCTGCACGCAGGCACAATGCTTGCACCCCCAAAAAAACCCCCTGCTTTTCCATGGCCAGGTGCCTGGGCAGGGGATGGGGGAGCCCCAAGGGAGCTGGCGGGGTGGTGGGGGGCGGGGGGCTGGGTGGGCTCCTCTCACATCCTCCCAGCCTGAAACTTGATGCGGCGGGAGAGGCTGATCGCGAGATTAATTGGGCGTTCTCAAAAACCCGACGGCGGGGGGAAAGCCAGCAAGGAGCGCTGCCTGCCTCCCTGCTCGGGTTCACTCCTCCGCACAGCCGGCAGGCTGGGGAGCCGGCAGCACAAGAGCCATGACCCCCGCCGCTCTCGGGGTGCTTCTGGCCCTGCTGCCTCTCACCTCGACTCTGCAGAGCCAAGGTAAGGCGAGGGACCCGCGGGCAGGGCGGGAGAGCGGGGCACTCCCGGCACCCAGAGGCACAGTGCGTCTCCTTCCCAAAGCCCGAGCAGCGCTGCACGGCATGCAAAGGCTGCTTTTTAGTCAGACGTTGATGCTCTTGAAAAGCGACGTACCTGGGAGAAGCCCGAGTGCGGGAAAGCTCCGGTGCGAGAGCCCGGAGGGGCTGCCTGCGTGAGGATCAGGGGCTGAATGCCCGCAGCGAGGTAACGTGGCGTTTGAACCCAGCTCTGCGCTGGCGGCTCATCCGTGCGGGGCTTCGAAGCACTCTGGCAGTGTGCGGGGTCCGAGCCCTGAGGATGTAGAGACAGAAAGAGGGTGATCGCGTGCCTGCTTCCCTCTGCCTGGGAGCTGCTGCCCGAGCCCTCCACCCAATAATGACATTTCTCTCATATAATGTTTCATCCCCTGCAACGCCGAGCTGGGTTTTGGGCACGACAGCACGCAGAAGCGATGCTGCGCCTGGGGCTTGTCATCTCAGCTCCGCTCGGCGCAAAACTGACTGCCGGAACGTTCACCGGCTATCATTATTATTTTCTCGTTTAACCTTCCTGGGAAATAATAGTAGAAAAAAAATCACCCTGCTGTTTTGCACCCGGGCAGCTCAGAAATTTGAGCAGGTCTGTAACTGGGGTTTGTGGAGCGGTCAGATACCGCTCCCATCGGGGCATCGGTCCGACTCCCAGACCTTCTCCCGCAGTTAGCTGGGCAGAGCTACCAGCAAAGGAACCGGGGGCAACGAGCCTCTTGCCTCAGGAGGAAGGAAAAAGGTCCGTGCCCACGCACTCGCCGTGTGCCAGCTTGCGCCAGGCGACTTGCTGGCCCAGGTCTGGGGCCGCGCGGACCAGCACGGTGCAGCCGGGGTGAACCCAGCCCAGTGCCCCTCCCGCGAAGCCGTTTCCCCGCTGCCAGAACGTCCCGACCCAGAGCTCGGTGCTGTGGGTGCGAGGGGGAGCACGGGCACGATCCTGCTGCCCGCCATGGCAGCGGAGGAGGCCGCTTGGCCCCAGCCGCAATGACGGCAGCGCCTCTTTTCTTCCCCTCTCCCTAATTGCCGCCTCCCGCCCCCCCTCACCGGCTCCGCGGGTGCCTGCCTGCCTGGGCGAGGGTCGTGCGCCCGGCCGGCTCCCCGGCATTACCGATCGCGTGCAACTCTGGAGGGGCTGAGACGGCTGGTTGGGTTTTTTTTTTTACCTTAAAAGACAGATTAAAGTTCCCTTCCCAGCAGCTTTTCCCAAGTTCCCGCAGATCTATTCCAATTACTCCCTTTCATTAGGCGGGAATTGGACTCGGGGTCCGGGCGTGCTGCAGAGCAAAGCCACGAGCGCTGCTCTGCCACCCCGGCTCGGCTGCGGCGCTGCCGGCTGCCTTGCAGCGAGGATGCAGGTGCTGCGAGCAATTTGCTCTGCGATTAATGCTGCCAGCACCAGCCGAGGGATCGTTTCCACGGGAAACAAACACCAAGATACCTGATAAATACCAAGATGCCTAATAAACGAATTTAGCATCCCAGTTCATCTCTAACCTTCGCTGCCTCCACCTGCATCGCAAAGAAGAAATGCTCCTGGAAGTGGTGAGCGGTGGGAAGCTTATCTGGGGGGCAGCCAGTCCCTCGTGGTCCCCCGCTGCCGCTCTCCTGGCATCTGCCCGGGAGAGGCGGAAGGAGGCAAGGCCGGGGGAAGGTCCCAGCCCTGCCCACCTGCACAGCAGAAGATATTGCTAAAACGTTAGGGGACGGTTCTGGCAGGCGGGCTGGTTTCCCGCCAGGACGCTTCTGCTCGACTTTGGTGGCAAACCCCAACCAGTAAGCGAGGGGTGGCAGCCAGCAGCATCCCACGGTTTGTGGCACACCCCCGGGCAGGGCGACCGCTGCGCTGGTGCAAGCAGCCCTCCACCCCTCCACCCCTCCTTCCCTCCCTCCCTCCCTCTGCCAGCAGGTACCCACCGGACACCAGATCCTGCCGAGCCTGCGCTGCGCCGGCTGGCCCACTACCTGCTGGCCCACTACCAGAAGGGCACCCGGCCCGTGCGGGACTGGCGAACGACCACCAACGTGGCCATCGACCTCATGGTCTACGCCATCCTCAGCGTGGTGAGTCCTCTGCTCCCGTCCCACGTGGGGCGGGGGGGGCAGCCGCCTTCGGCGCGGGCGGCTCCTGGGCGCCCACAGCGAGGGGACCGATACCCGCTGCGCAGCATCCCCCCGGCACGCTCTGCCCATCTTCCCAAGCACCAGCACCCCCCGCGCCGACACCGTGTCCTCTTCTTCCCGCAGGACGAGAAGAATCAGGTGCTGACCACCTACATCTGGTACAGGCAGGTGAGCAGATGAGAGTGTGAAACGTTACCCCTCCCATGCCAGGCCCCTCCCGTGGGGCCGAGCGCCCCTGCAAACACAGGTTTCCCCCAGCAAGGTCCAACCCATCCCAGGGGATGACGAGATCTCTGTGGGGTACGAACCTTTCGGGCTCCATGCTTCACACCGTTGCGGGGTGTGATAGCTGGAGGACGAGCCTTTCCTCCCTCCCGTGGATGGCAGCGACGATCGGTTCCCATGGCAGGGTGCTGAGATGTGGGTCCCGGTGGGGTGGAAGGGGCCTCACCCTCCAAGCCCCCTCTCCCTTGTCCCCAGCACTGGATGGATGAGTTCCTCAGGTGGGACCCGGCGCACTTCGACAACCTGACGCACATCTCCCTCCCTGTGGAGAGCATCTGGGTGCCCGACATCCTCATCAACGAGTTGTGAGTGGAGCCAAAGTCCGGGAGGGAGAGGACCCGGGGCTGGGTCCCCCTCGCCCACCGCGGGCGTGTGCCGCCCCGTGCTTTGTATTCCTGGCACAGAGCTGGCAGCCTCCCCGCATCGGGCGAGCTGCAGATGGGGAACGGCTCGGCACTTGGGCCATTTCCAATGCTGGCTAACCGCAACCGCTGGTAATTACCCACGCCGTGCCGGGGGTGGGATCCAGATATCTGGAGAAAGGCTTTGTGAAGGCAGCACAATGCGAGGGCAGCTGCAGAGCTGCCGGCCCTTCCCGCAAAGCCAGCCGGCCTCCTTCCCACTCCGTGGGGATTTAAGGTGTTCCCAGAGCCCTCGGGCAAGGACACGGACGCTCCTTGGGCTGGGAGAGGGTGACGCCCAGGTGGTGCCAGGCAGGCAATGCCTGCACGGGTATTGCTAAAAAAGATCGGGGGGGAAAACCCCCAGTCCTCGGGCAGTTCCCCTCCCAAACGCAGCTTGGCCGGCTGGAGGAGTCCCTGCCCAGAGCGCTCCCCAGCCCTGGTCTCTGTCCTTCGTGCCCCCCAGCGTGGATGTCGGAAAGTCCCCCCACGTCCCCTACGTCTACGTTGGCCACCACGGGGAGGTGCAGAACCTCAAACCCATCCAGGTGATGACCGCCTGCAGCCTGGACATCTACAACTTCCCCTTCGATGTCCAGAACTGCTCGCTCACCTTCACCAGCTGGCTGCACCACAGTGAGTGCCGAGACCCCCACGGCCGGGGGGGGTCGGGGGGAGCGGGCGGGACCTCTGCGGGGCTGGAGCTCCGTGCAGAAGGCGGCTCACCCCTCTAGATGGCCCCAGCGGACCGGGGATGCGTGCGGGCAGGGCAGGCACCCAGCCCGGCGTGGATTTGCAGGCAGCTGCCCGCGCTTCGGGCCGGGCACCCCTGGTCCTCACCCTCTCCTCCGCCCCCCAGTCCGCGACATCAACCTCTCGCTGTGGCGGCAGCCGGAGCTGGTCAAGTTCGACCGGAGCGTCTTCATGAACCAGGGCGAGTGGGAGCTGCTCTATGTCCTCAGCCACTTCCAGGAGTTCAGCGTCAAGAGCAGTGACAGCTACGCTGAGATGAAGTTCTACGTAAGGGTCTTCGGCCACCACGCCTCTTGGGGATGGGGTGGCTAGGGAGGGGTCTTGTCCCGGTCCCTGTTGCCTGACCACCCCGGTGCTCTGTGCTGCGGTGCTCCTGCCTGAGGGCAGGAGGCTCCCAGTGCTGAGCCCTTTTCTCTGGCTCACCTTAGTACAACTCGCCATCCTCCTCCACATCGGCGGAGAGCTGCACCAGCTCAAGCCCTGGTTTCAGCCCTTCGCTGGGCTTTGCATGTCTCTCTGCTTTGCAGGTCGTCATCCGGAGACGCCCCCTCTTCTACACCGTCAACCTGCTCCTCCCCAGCATCTTCCTGATGGTGATGGACATTGTGGGCTTCTACCTGCCTCCCAACAGTGGCGAGAGAGTCTCCTTCAAGATCACCCTCCTGCTGGGCTACTCGGTTTTCCTCATCATTGTATCTGACACGCTACCGGCTACTGCCGTCGGCACCCCCTTGATAGGTACGGCGGCACCGCCAGCCAAGCTGACCGGTGCGGCAGCCCTAGGCCTGGAGCAGCAGGAGCCGCTGCTCTGCACAGGGAGCGCAGGTCCCCTAGAAAGGTGGGCAGGGAGGACCCGCTCAGGACCACGCGCTGTGCGTCAGCCTCGGCGGGCCACTCACCTCGCTGACGCCTTCGCAGGCATCTACTTCGTGGTGTGCATGGCACTGCTCGTCATCAGCCTGACGGAGACCATCCTGATCGTGTGCCTGGTGCACAAGCAAGACCTGCAGCCCCACGTCCCCGCGTGGGTGAAGCGCCTGTTGCTGGAACGAGCCACCGTCCTGCTCTGCATCCGGGACAGGAAGAAATTCACCCAAAGCACGACGCAGGGCTCGGACATCGCCGGGCAGGTGGAGAACAACGACAGCACAGGTAAAGGCTGCACGGGGAGGGCCCATGGGAACTGAAGGGCACTAGGCTGGCTACGTAACCCTTGTTTGCCTGGCGCTCCGCACGCCCAGCTCACCTGCAGAAATCCGGGCTCTCTGCCCAAAGAGGTTTTTTTCCCGTTTGTCTTTCTCGATCCTGCAGCCAAGCTGAACCACTACGGCTGTGAGGACGCCCGCGAGTGTGAGGCGGCGGAGGGCGCGAGGCCCACGGCGGCCTTTGCGGGCCCGGCGGAGGGCTCCCCGCTGACGCACGGCGTCCTGCGCGAGATCACCGCCGTCCGCCGGCTCCTGGAGAAACGCGAGGAGTTTCGCGACGTCGCCCGCGAGTGGCTGCAAGTGGGCTACGTGTTGGACGTCCTGCTCTTCCGGGCGTACTTGGCGGCAGTCCTGGCCTACGGCATCACGCTGGGCACCCTCTGGTCGGTGTGGCGGGATGCCTGAGCGGCGCCCGCAGCCCGGGGCGGGGGGGGCCCTGCGGCTCTGCCTGGCTCCAGGGGCTCGCCGGTGTTTGCTGACCCAGCCTGGCGCATCCTCCTCCTTCCCGCCAGCTCCGGGGCAGCAACACCCGAGCGTGAAGGCGGAGCGGAGGAGGAGGAACCCCCCAAGCCCCGGCGAACCTCGCCCGAGCCCGGAGCCATGTGCGTCCCCCCCCGCCCCGCCCCCGGCAGCGCCCCCGGCCCGGCGCGGCGCCGGCCGCCGCTTCAGCACCGCGGACAGCGGCCCCGCCACCGCCGCCCGCCCGGGGGTCCCGCCGGCCCCGGGGGGTCCCCCATAACCCCGGGGGGGACCCCCTAACTCCGGAGGGTCCCCAACAATCCCGGGGGGACCCCCTAACTCTGGGGGGGTCCCCTCTAACCACGGGGAGTCCCCAACAATCCCGGGGAGACCCCCTAACCCTGAAGGGTCCCCACTAGCCCCAGGGGGGGTCTCTGCTAATCCCAGGGGGTTCCCATACCCCTCACCTCGCTTGCTCTGGGGAAGCCCCCACCTCCGTGCAGGAAGCACTGGGGGCCACGTGCCCGTGTCCCCTCGCCCGTTACTCCCCCTGCTCGTCAGGCTCCACGTGTGTCTTTGTCATCCCCATCCCACCCCAGCCCAGCGGTGAACTGGGAGAGAACCGGTGCCGGCCAGTGGCAAATGAACCGGGGTGCAAACGGGACCGGCTCTGTGAGCCCGCGGTGGCGGAAGAGACCCGCGGGGTCACCGATGGCTGCTGCCGTGTGGCGAATCCCCCCCCTCCCTCGCGCCCCACCCTGCCGGGGCAGGGGCAGGGGGCTCAGCGGGGAGGCAGGAACCACTGGCTGCATCCCCAAGGTGGCAGCTGAGCCCAGACCGCAGGGAGCAGCCCTGCCCAACGCGGTACCTGCTCTTGTTTCAGAGCTGGGGGTGACAAGAAACACTGATGGTGTTTCTGGGGTGGTCCCCGGTCCCGCCGTGCTCACCCGAGACACTGTCAAGGTACAGCGCGCTCGTCATGCCGGTCACGTACCTGAGCAACCAGCGCGGGCACCGTCCTCGAAAGCATGGGCGATGATGATGATGGGCGATGATGATGATGGGAGATGATGACGGGAGATGATGATGGGAGGGCCCATCGCGTGCCCTGGGAGCATCTCTGCGTAGAGTGAGGCTGCAGGCAGAGGGGGAGAGGTGGGCTGGCGGCGCCCGGCTCTCCCTCTGCTCACCCCGGCCCAAGGGTCCCGCTCCCTGTCCCCGAGCCGTCACCTGCAGGAAAACTCCCCACTGAGTGACAGGGGGGCTGAGTACGGGTGGAGCGGGCTCCGGCCGCGCTGGCCCGCGCTAATGCGCTGACGGTCTGTAAGTGGCTGCCTATTGATGAGGTGTCCAGTTAAAGAGTTCGTGAGACACTAAATCAGCCCATTGATCCTGCCGAGATCGATGGTGCTACAGACCTGATCACTGCAGCGGGCAATTAACACCCTCTGGAATGAGCCGCCTTCGTGTAACATCAAACGCTCCGACAGACAAATCCAATGGGCCCATTGACCCGGGTGTGCGACGCCGCCCGGCCCGCGCCCGCCTGCGGAGGGGACGAGGCGGCGGGACCCCCGAGCCAGCCTTGCCATCCCTCTCCTGCCCTCGGGGACCCACCACCGTGAGATGCTCACCTGTGCCAGCACGTCCCGAGGACCACGCTGGTGGCCGCGTGGCCGCTCGGTCCTCATCCTCCCCTGCACTAGGCAGCCGTCCCGCACCCAGCCTAACCCCCTCGTGCCGCTCAGCGCTCCTTTCCCCTTGGGAGAGGAGGCTGCCCACGCTGGAGGAAAGATCCAGGTTCTCCCTTGGCCCTCTCGCTGCTTTGGGAAGCGCTGCACGCGGGGGAAAAGTTCCAGGCATCTTTCCGAGAGGATCCTGGATTTTCCTCTTTAAAAAAAAAAAATAAAATCAATAAATCTGAATCTAATCTCCTAATAAAGGTTTAATGAGGACATAATGTTGATGGAACAGAACATTGTTGCAGCATAATCGCTCCCAGCTGCTGCGCGAGTGTGCAGACAAAGGCCCGGTCCTACGACAATTTCCCCGTTATTGTAGTAGCGCCTTTGTCCCGGGCCAAACGCCGGGGAGGGGTGTCACCCCCCTTCTCCCGGGGGTGCTGCAGCCGGCAGGGCGCTCGCGGCAGGACCGCCTCTGCGTGCCCGACCCGGGACCACCGTTCTCCCCGGCTTGCCCAAAGCCTCCCTGGAAGAGCTGGGCTTGGGGGGGGGGGGGCTCTGGGAGGCAGTGACCAGGAGCGGGACCTCGGGGTGGGCGCGCAGCCCCCCAAACCCACCGGGGCCACGGGACGAGCCCGGCCTCCGCAGCGGCCTGGCACGCGTCGTCCACCCCTGGGAGCAAACGAGCGATGCTTTGCCTCCGGCGGCTCCCACGAGGGTCTCGCTGCGCCGGGACGCCCAGGCGGGCGGCGGGCAGCACCCGTGGGTGGCGGGCAGCACCCGTGGGGCACGGGCACGGCCGGGCGACGCCGGCAGCACCCGCCTGGCCTCGCCGTACAGTTTGCCGCAGCACAAAAGGAGTGCAGGCGCTGCTGTTAATGTAGTCAGTAAATAAATAAAGGAGGGCTTAAGCTTAGTGTACAGCAATCAGTCGAGAACTACAGGATAATTAACGCAGCGGGGGGCCAGACTACTCTGCAGTCAGGTTTAAATGAACGAGTTCACTTTCATTGAGGCAAACCCGCCACGCTCCCCGGTGAGCTGCGCAGGCAGCGACGGGGCGCATCGGCACCCCGGGGGCACCCCCCACCCGTCAGGGCTGCTGCTTTGGGGATGGGCCCCCCCGGCACGGCCCCGGGGGGAGCCGGGTGGGCAACCCCAAACTCACCACCGTGGGTCCCCCCGTGGCTCGCCCCCAGCCAGTGGGACGCATCCTTCCTCCTCCTCCTCCTCCTCCCAGCAGGCACGGGCACAGGAACAGGAGACGGCAGGCCGAGACAACGGAATTAACTTTATTGGTTGTTTTTTTTTTTTTTTTTTGTTTTCTAACTGCAGATTCAAGGTATACAACTGAACATTGCTATTTTCCTTATGAGACTTATAAATAAAAATACAAAAAATGTTCACTACAAAAAAATCTACCGTTAGTAGGATGTAAAAAATATTCTCTTTGCTATAGAAGGCACGAACTTCACTTAGTGACACATGGAGAGAAAAAAACCTGCAGCAGTATATTCTTCTTCTTTTTTTTTTTTTTTTTTTTTTTCAATCTTTTTTTTCCTCTGTCAGAAACACTGAAGTCTTACAAAGAAATGCATCTGAATCTACACAGGACGAAGGCAGATGCGGAGAGCTGCAACTAGGAGACACCACAACTGGGTTGGTTTTTTTTTTTTTTTTTTTTTTTGTTGTTTTGTTTTGTTTTTTAATGTTTTTTTTTTATTTATTTTTTATTTTTCAGGAAACTTTTAGCTAACGGCATCTGTGGCTAGAGGACAGAGAGGACTCGCAAGCACAACCGCAAGGGAGCGAACGGCGAGGGGAGAGAGGGGGAAAGTCGTACAAAAAATAGGAGCCGATAGATACTCTGAGAAAACCAAAGGGGAACTTGGGCACCTTCTGCGCCCGGGCTCAGAGAGGTGCTGAGGTAGACGGAACGAGGACAGCGACGGACCCGAACCACGAGCGGCAACACAGAGCAACGGGACGGGCAGGCGGGCGCGCACGACACCGACGACAAGGCGGGGGGGGGAGCCCGGGGCCGCGGGGCCCTGCGGGGCGCTTGGTCCTCACTGCTATCATACACATATATATACTTATATATATATGGAGGGGCGGCGAGCGCCGCGGCATCGCGCCGGCACCGACGCCGTCGCAGCCGGGAGGGGTGGCGGGGTGGGAGGGGGGTTAAAGCAAAAAAAGCCACATGAGCTCGGCTGCGGGCTCGGGAGCTACCGCGCGCGCGCCAGAAATTGCAGCAACTTTCTGTGTCAAAGAACTGGGCGGGGGGGGTGGGGGGGTGGTGCTATAATTTTTTTTTTTCCTTTTTTTTTTTTTTTTGTTTTTGTTTTTGTTTTTTTTTTTTTTTTTTTTTTGTTTTTGCTTTTTTAATACGTTTTCCTTAGGCACAACAATTAAACAAGCCGTTCTCCACAGTCACATCCCGGATTGTACAGCAGCGGCGTCCACCCTGCGCGGAGCAGCGAAGGTCCCGCACGCGGAGGCACACGCGCGTGCAAAGCCGGACCGGGGTGCGAGGGAGGATGCTGCTCCCGCAGCCGCATCCCTGCTCGGCGCCGGGAGAGGTGGGACGGGCACCCCAAAGCAAGAGGGGCCGTCGGCATCCCTCCGTTCCCCCCGGCTCTTTCCCCCCCCTCTTTTCACCCAAACGCAGCAAAATGACAAAAAAAGATAAAGCCACGGCCGCAAGCGCCGCGGGGGACGGAAAACCGCAGGGCCCGCTTCCGCAACCGCAAAGGAGAAACACAACAAAAACGAACACAAGAGGTAGCTTCAGAACTGAGGCCCCCGGCCCCGTGGGGCCGGGCAAAAAATACCAGTTTTGGTAAGGATAATGCACAACGGGAGGCCGGCGGGGACGCTGCCGCCGTGCCGCTCCTCCGCCACCAGCGCCGGGCACGCAGCTCGCGCCTTCCCGACCACGCCGCCCCCCGTCCCCCCCAAATCAATAAAAGCTCATGAGGTCACAAAAAAACGAGGTAATTTCAAGTAAAATGTGCTAAATGCGGAAATATTCCAAAAGAAAGTTCAGAAAAACCGAACAAAAAGCAAAAAAAGCGGCGAGCGGAGCCGCCTGCCACCGGGCACCCCTCCCACGCGGGCTCCTGCAGCTGAGGGCTGGGCAAAAAACCACGCTCGGCACCTTCCAGGCACCCCAAATGAGCAGAAAAACAGCGCATCCCTCGTCCGGAGCGATGCCGCGCACCGGCGGCACCCACGCCGGCACCGGCATCGACCGCGCATCGCCAAACCGGCCCCCCGGGAAGGCGGGGGAGGAAGGGGAAATGCATAGAGAGGTCTTTGGTCGGGGGGAGGGCAGCAGCCTCCGGGCACCCCTCGTGCCCGCCCGGAGCCCGGGCAGCGCCGCGAGGCAGCCCGGCTCGGCTCGCACCCGGATCCCTACCCCAAACACCCTTCTCCATCCGGGCTGCGGTCCCCCCAGGGATGCTCTCGCAGCCCGGGAGCCCTCCCGAAACGGGGGCCGAGCCAGCCCAGGCTCCTCCGCGGTGACGGAGGACACCCGAAACGCGAGCCTCACCAAAGCACCGGCTGGACGCGTGCTCTCGGGGCAGCGCGCCGTTCCTCTGCCGTCCCGTCTGCCCGGCCAGCACCAGTGGTGATGGAGGAACGGAAGGGCCGGCCGGGGAGGGGGGGGAAAAGCTGCCCGGGTGCACGAGCGGCCGGGGAGGGGGGCGCGGGGAAGGGGGCCGGTGCGTCCCCCCCTGCCCCGGCGCGAGCCGCAGGATCCTTCCGGCGAGAAGCAACGAACGAGAACCGAAAACAAACAAGGCTGTGGACGCTGCGGGTTTGGTGTTTTTTTTTTTGCCCAGTCCTCCTCCGCCACTCAGCCCCGCCGCCCCTGCGCCTCCTCCCTCAGACGTAGCAGAGGTAGAGGTAGGTCTTCTCTATCCGCCAGTCGGTGGGGATCTCCTCCGGCTTGTGGCCCTTCATGTGCTTCTGCATGGCGGAGAGGCTGGGGCAGTACTCCAGGCAAATGGTGCACTGGTAGGGGGAAGCGCCGTTGTGGGTCCGAAGGTGTTTGATCATGGCCGAGTAGTCCCGGGAGCGCTGGTGGCACAGCTTGCACTCGAAGGGCTTCTCGCCTGCGGGAGACGGGGAGACGGGGCCGTCAGCGGGGGCCTCCGGGCGGTAATTAACTGCCCGGCATCGACGCTGCCGCGGCGGGCGCGGCCGAGAGCCGAGTAATGAACAGCAAAACCGATCTGACTATTGATCCCCTTTTGTACAGCAGCTACGCGCCGGCACGCCCGACAGCTCCTTACCGCCGGCAAACGCCGCGGCACCGCCGGCCTCACCGGAGCCTGCCCCCCCTGCCCCCCCGCGCCTACCTGTGTGGACCCGGTAGTGGGTCTCCAGCTGGTGCTTGAGGCTGAACTTCTTGCCGCAGCCGTTGCACTCGTAGGGCTTCTCGCCGGTGTGGATGCGCTTGTGGCCCTTCAGCGTGCTCTCGTCCCGGAAGCAGCTGCCGCAGAACTCGCACTCGTAGGGGTGGTCGCCTGCGAGCACACGCGCGGGTCGGTCAGAGCCGCCTCCGTGGCCACCCCAGACCCAGCTCCCCCGCCCGCGCCCACCCCCGGCGCCCGCAGCACCCCGGCCAGCCCCGGGGCCGGGGGTGCCGGGCCTGCGGTGGGGGACGCCGCGACCCTCCCGTCACCGATTCCCAGGTGTTGCACCCGGCATCGCCGGCACAGACCCGGCCCCGGGCGCCCCCCGCGCTCCAGACCGGGCAGCTGATAAATGAACTCCGGTTCGGCACCAAAGGCAGAATGATTTGAAGGAAAGGTGAGGGCTCCAGCTACTTATTTATTACAGGCGCGAAGGCAAGGACAATAAAGATAGATTGATCGTCCGAGACTTTGTTCATGAATATTTAAATATTACTGATTTGTCTTGTCACTGTAATTACAATTTCTCTGTGCCGCATATCCTACAAGCACAGTTTATGGTAAAGAATGGCGAACTGTATTTCACTTGTCCTGCTGCAGATGTGCGGAGCTGCCAAGCGTGTAATGTTCCCCGCATTTCATACATTTTCTTCAGCTGTGAAGGCTTAAGTCATCCACAATGACCTACGTTTTTTCATTATCCCCGTGTCAAACTGCACTCGTGCCTGGGCATAAATTGTCCTTCTCGTTATATACTCACATGCCTGCGCTTTCGCTTCCTCTTTAAAATGATATTTTACTCTCTCCCCGTGTGCCGCAGCCGAGACCCGCGGCCCCTCGCCCCCTCCTGCCGCTGCTGCCTGGGCACCAGAGGATGCTGCGGGCGCGTTTCGGACCCCCCCCCTTCCCAAGGCCAGGCAGGCGGTGCCTGTTGGAGCTGCGTTTCACACCCCCCCGCGCCCAATTCCAAATTATCGCCTCGGATTTTGATCCTCTAGGCGAGGACAGCGGCTCTGCAGCCCGAGGCAGGCAGCACTGCCACGTGCCCAGGTCCCAGGAGAAGCCGTGGGAAGAGGAGCCGGGCCCCCCGGCGCGCTCCGGCCGTGGGAGAGCCGCGAGCACCCCGTGTCCCTGCGGGACGGATCCGCGCAGCGCGGCGGAGCGCCCCGACAGCACCGACGGTCCCGGTGTCTCCGCAGAGCCGGGAGCTGCGAAAGCAGCGGGGTTGGGGCGGGACACGCACGGCCTGACCCGCAGCCCGGGTCACCGGCTCCGAACAGCTCCAGCGCTCGGCACTCACCTGCCGGCCGTCAGCGTGTTGCTGCCCGTTCCCTGCCCCGGCACCCCTGGCCCGAGCGCACGCGTGGGGGTCAGGCAGCCGCCGGCCTCGGCCCGGCCGGCACGCCGCCCCCGGGATGCTGCCCGAGCGCCCCAACAGGAGCGAGGAGGAGGAGGGCTTATCCCGGCGGGGCACACGCTTTCCCGGCGGCCACACGTAGCGCGGGTCGCCCTCATCCCATCGGGGCCGAGCACCGGCCGACTACGCGCATCCACCGCCCGCGAGCCGGGAGCGATCGCACGTCCCCGGCCACGTGCCACCTCGCACCGGCTCAACTTACCGGGCGCCGTTCCTCCCCCTTCCGCTTCGCTTCTCAAACCCAGGCGCAGCCTCAAGCGCCGCCGCCCCCACGCTTTTAAGACCGCTTCCCCTTTCTTCCCCCGTTTTCCCTTGATGGAGTGGGGAGAGGCCGGCGCGTCCCGGAGGCATCGTACCTGTGTGGGAGCGGAGGTGCCTCTTGAGCGCGGTGTGGCTGGGGAAGGTGCGGTTGCACTCGCTGCAGATGTAGCTGCGCACCCCGGCGTGCACCTCCATGTGCTGCTGCAGGGCGCTCTGCGTCTGGAACCGCTTCCCGCACAGCAGGCAGAAAACGGCCATGTCCGTCCCTGCGGGAGGGAGAGAGGCGATTTAGGCACCGCCCGGCACCCCCACCCCACGGGCGCTCGGGGTGGGGGGGCCCCGCTCCCACCCGGCAGCGGGGGTGCTCCTGCCACCCCGACCCCTCGGCTGCTGGGGGCGGGTGGGGGGGGTTTGTTCCATGGGAGGCAGCTGGGAGCCCTGTGCTGCCCAAACACTGGGCAGCTGTTGGGTGGTCGGTGTGTCCCCACGCACAATGGGGGGGGGGGGGGGGCGCTGCTGAGCTTGGGCCACAGCGTGCCCGGGGGGAAAGGGGACCCCAAAGAACACCCCCCTGCCAAGCCGCCCCAGGGAGCAGGGGGTTGGATGCAAGAGGCTGACGCGCCCAACCCTGCGCTGCGTGCGACCCTGAGCCCTGAAACAAACCCAGACCCCATCCTACCAAGCACAGGTATAAAACTGGCTGCACCAACACAACGGCAAGAGCGGGGGAAAAAGCCCCAACCCCAGATCCTTATACGCTGTCAATAAAAATATCAGACCTTTGTGTTATTAAACAATTTGTTTTCGTTTATGCATAGCTGATTGTTCAGAACCTGTGAGTCAGTGCAAATTGTATTATGAAGGGAGATTAAGCAAATAAATGCTCGCTTTTTGGAGACATTAAAATGTGAGGACTATGGAAATAAAATTATCTAGAAAATTGTATTAGCAATTCATTAGCAGCAGCAAGATGTTCAAGGTAACCAACGGATCCGCGCTGCCTTTAGGAACAGCAGGGCCGGGGGGGGCTGCTTGCCACACTTGCCAAAACCGGCCCCGGGGGTACCCACGGGTGGGGGGGTTACCGGAGGGGACCACGAGGCAGGGAAACGCGGGCAGCAGGACCCGCTGCAGCGGTGTCGGGGTCCTGCCTGGCACGGGCAGGTGCCACCGAAGGATGCTCCCCCCCCGCGATTCGGCAGCATCCTCTCGGCACGGCGGCACGCCACGGCCCCTCTGTGGCTCCGGGGACGCCGGAGCTGCCGGGAGGGATGCTCAGTCGCAGCCCTGGCGAGGCACACAGCAGGCTGCCCAGAAACGTCCCGAAATCGGCCCCAAAAACCCCCCGGCCCCTAGTGAAACGAGGATAAAAGCAGCAAGAGAGGCGGCCCCGCACGGGAGCTGCCTTTTTCCCCTCTGCAGGGATTTATCCCGGGAGGGGGGCGGGTGGTGCAGGCTCACGCGCCCCCCACGCAGCTGCGGACAAAACGCTCCCAAGACAAAAAAAAAAAAAAAAAAAAAAAGGCAGCCAGCCCCAAACGGGCCGTGCGAAGCAAATCCCGAGAGGTATGCGGCCCCGCGGCCCTCGGCGGCCCCGGCGGTGACAGCAGGACGGGTCAAAGGTCCCCGGGGCTGAGCCCCCAGCGCTGCGGCCAGCTGCGGAGCGGAGGCCCCGGCCGGCGGGACGCCGGCCCCGATAAATCTGCCGCCAGCAGCCCCCGCTGGGGCCGGGGACAATGGGCTCCCGTGGGGGCGGAGGGCAGGACAATGCCGCCGGGCCGGCGCGCGGGGCCGTAACAAATCCTCCCTGGCACCGTAGGGCCCTCATTTGTGAAACTAATTGGCCCCCGCTCGGGGAAAAAAAAGAAAAAAAAATAACACCACCAAAAAAAAAAACCGGTCCGACTCTGGCAGCCGCGAGGATGGGGACGAGCTGCCTCGTGCACACGCGGGGGGGATGCACCCGCCCGTTCATCGGGGATGGTGCTGGGCATCCCCCTGCGGGGCGCTGCTTGCCAGCACCCGCAAAAGGCATCTTCAAATTTTTTTTAGGTACTGCAGGAGTAAATAACTCGGCACCCGCAACGGGGAGGTCGCCGCGCACCGGCCCAGCTTGCGGGGGCACGGGGCGCTCGCCGCCCCCCAAGAGCAGAGCACCCGCGGGGTGCTGGAGGAGACGGCCCCGCAGCCCCGCACCGAGCCCAGCGCCCTGCAGCACGACGCGGAGCACCGAGGGCAGGCTCCGCTCCTTTGCGGCCCCGAGGCGCCGGTGACGGGGGTCCCCAACAGCCCAGCACCACGCCGGGGCCCTGCCGGGCGCCGTCCCGCTGCGGGACTGCAGCTCAGCTCGTCTGTTATTATTTTTTTATTTTAAGCTGCACGTGAAGCGACGCCCCGCTTCTCAAGAGAGGATGGGAGGGGGGAAAAAGCCGGGAAGCTCACGAGGGGGTGCCAGGGCCACTGCCGAGCCCGCCGCGGCCGGGATTTGGCAGCACCGGGCGACACGGGGCTCAGCACCGGGATCCCAGCCGGAGCAAGTCCCTGAGCTCCCACCCCGAGCGCATCCCTGGGCTCCCAGCCGGAGCAGCCCCGAGCCAGCCCTCAGCCATCAGAAGAAAAATCGCCCCCGATAAAGAAACGCCGCCGCCCCAAACCAGGGAGAGACGGATTTATTCATTTCCCTGACGTTTTAATGGTTTCTCCCCTTTTTGCGGGAAGATGATTACAAATTAAGCGGCATTTAAACGCTTTTTACTGTCAACAATTAAAAGGAGCGAAGGCGGGCGAGCAATTCATTCCCCGGGAAACGCGGCGGCTCTCGGCGGGCGCCGCTGGCCCTTCCCTCTACTGTACACCGCACAATGGCCCCGAGCGCGCCATTAATTTTGCAGGACGTTCAAAAGCAAATTAAAATATAAAAAGCCCCCCGGCACAAAGATAGATACCGAGGGAGGGGGCGGCGTGGGTCAAGCCCGCGGAATTAGAGTCTTAGCGACCGGGGAGGGTTGAAGCGCGGCCCCGTCACGCCGCGTTCGGCAGCCACCTTCGCCCATCCCTCCCGGTTTTCTACATCCCTGCCCGGGCTGGTGCCGCGGAGCACCGGCGGGGCGGCTGCCGGCACAGCCGTGGGGGTTCGGAGGCAGAAGTCGGAGCGGGTTGGGTTTCAGATGCCGTTTGGGCTGCTGTAGGATCTGAAATGTGTTTTTTTAGGGGGCGGGTGCTTGCCGGAGGGAGGAAAGCCCCGACAGCCGCGGGCCTGGAGGCGCGCGCCCTGCTCCTCCGGCGGCTCCAGCCCAAGGAAGCGCAATCGCCAGAGAGGCCGAGACGAGCAAGACCCACCGCACGCCCCTCGGGGGCTTTGCCACCCCGTCCCAGCTGCGGTGGGGGATGCCGCAACCTTCCCGGCGTCGAGGGCCGCGCTGGCTCCCGCCCACTGCCTCTGCCGAAGGAGGAATTAAAATGACAACCTGCGTGGCGAGGGGCGAGGGAGGCAGCGTGGGTCTCCCGCCGGCGCCGGGAAGGAGCCGGGCGGGTCTCGGGGAAGTTTAGGATGCGGGAGGTGCGCCGGCAGGAGAAAGGCGACACGTCCCCTTTAAAAGGAAATATAATTTACAGTGTGCAGCCAGGCGGCCCATAGTTTCAATCTCGTTTACTATAGAGAAAACTCTGCTAGCTGTTCTCTATCCCACAAATCCGATTTAATCAGACAAGCCAGCCAGCGTGGCTTGAAGTAAAAACGGATAATTAGTAAACAGAGAGCTACTTCAGTGCTTCATTGGCATTCGAGCCGGGCTAGTGTGTCGCATTTAAAATGCAGTCTGATGAAGTTTACAAAATCAAACCATTTGTTACTCCTATTGAAGAGGCTTCAGGCCACTTGCAATTAAATTGGAATTAGTGCTCAGAATGAGATACAGCAAATTCATACTAAAAAGGGATCTGACTTTCAGACATTTGACTTCAAGTTTTTCCCCCCCTGTCCGCGTGCCCGCGCGCGTGCGCCATCCTGCCGACTCCCCGCCGGCCCCGTGGCTGCACCGCCGAGCCCGGACCCCCCGTGCGGGCGGGTGGGTCTGGGGCGACCCGGGGGGTGCTCCGGCAGCAGGGGAGGGGGAGACCGCAGGGCCCCGACGAGCGAGCCCCGGCGGCGGCAGCGCGGTCCCCGGGCGCGCGGAGCTGACGTCGGGATGCACAGACCGAACCGTCCCTCCCCGCACCCTCCTCTTCACGCTGCCGTCGTTTCCCCGTCTCTCCTCGGAGCGGGCTTACAAGACTGGAAAAATGAGGCAGCCCTGCCCATCCGTTGCAGCGATAATAATCAATCGCATCAGAAACCCGTAAGCAAGGGACGCAGAAGGGCACGCCGGGAAGGCTCTGGGTGCGCGCACCGAAGGAGGCCGACGGAACCTGTCGCCGCCTCTTGCGCCCACCATAAAACCCCCCGACGCCTGCCTCCCGCCCTGCAAATTCGGGGTCCTCAACAAGACTCGCTCCGCCCTCCGCCTTCGCATTGAACATAACCTCTTAGGCGACGCACGTGCCGAAGAGGTGTGCGAAAACCGCCGCTCGCTAGCCTTAGGATGGCGGTGGGCGGCCCCGAAACATCCTGGTCGCGCAAAGCCGGAGCCCGAGGGCTGTCGGCTCTCCCGCGAGGAGGTTTCAGGGCCGTTTCGCCGTTTTTTTGTCCGTGTGTCAAGGGCTCCCTACCAGCCTCCGCCTCCTGGACAATGCTGCTGGCTGCAGCTGCGGGGGAGGCCGCGGGCTGCTGGCGCGCATGAAAAAGCAGCGTCAGGGGAGGGCAGCGCTCCGAGCAGCCGCCGGGCCCAGTGGCTGAAACCGTGGGCGGCGGCAGCCCCCCCAGCCATGGGGAGCCACCCTGACCGGCCCCACCCGCGGGAAAGCGGGCAGGGGGGCGGCTGCAGCGCTGGCGAGGGGTGCAGCCCCCCCCCCCCCCCCATCGCTGCTGCTCCGCATCGCCGGGGGCCGGTCCCCTCGTCGATGCGCCGGATGGAGGCCACCCCGCTTGGGCTGAGAACTGTTAGAGCCGGTGGCACTTAAGCCCCCGCTTAAGGTGCTGGGCTCAGCTCGGCGCGGAGGGTTCCGTGGGGCGGCCGTTGCGCGCGGCCCGCGGGCACCAGGCTGAAGAGGAGGACGGGTGACGAAGGGCGGGCAGAAGCCGCCGGCACCGCCACGGTCCCCGGGAGGGCACCGGGGCTGCGTTTTGCCCCGGGGGATGCGCGCTGCTCGGGGTAAGAAGAGTAACCCA